TGATTTGTCTTTGCTTTCCTTTTGTTAGTGAAAAATTCACCATATTTACACTAAATGGAACCATAATTGTGGAGCTATAATTCGTTTTAAAACTTCTGGAGTTCATTTTACATACTTTTTGTGTGTGTTAAAAAATTGTTTTAATTTGTATACAGTAAAATTCACCCATTTTTAGGTGTTCAATGAATTTTGAAAAATGTATACTTAAACAGATTTATTATATAATTAACATACAATAATTTTTACCCATTCAAGGAGTATGATTCAGTGGTTTTCAGTATATTCATAGAGTTCTGCAACCATCACCACAAGGAATTTTAGAATATTTTCTTTACCCTCAAAAAGAAACTCTGTCCATTGACAGTCACCCCCATCTCTCCTCATCCCTCAGGCCTGAGCAACCATTAATCTACTTTCTATCTCTATGATTTGCCCATTCTGGCCATTCCATATGAATGGAATCATACAATATATGATCTTTTGTAACTTGGCATAATGTTTTTGAGGTTCATCTGTGTTGTAGCCTGTATCAGTACTGCATTTCTTTTTATTGATGTATAATATTCCATTATATGGATGTACCACATTTTGTTTATCCATTCATCTGTTGATGGACATCTGGGTTGTTTCTACTTTTTTTTTTTTTAATGACTTCTAACATTCATATATAAAGTTTTACACAGACATGTTTTCATTTCTCGTGGGTATATATCCAGAAATGGAATTATTTCGTCCACTTATGAGGTAACAATATGTTTAACATTATGAGGATCTGCCAAACTGTTTTCTGAAGTGGCTGCATACTTTTACAGTCCCTCCAGCGACGTATGAAAGCTCCAGTTTCTCCACATTGTTTCCAATACCTGTTATAATCTGTTTCTTTGATTATAGCCATTCTGGTACAATGAAATGGTATCTCACTGTAGTGTTAAACATTTTTTCATGAATGAATGACTTATTGGCCATTTGTACATCTTCTTTGGAGAAATGTCTATTCAGATCCTTTGCTCAATTTTTAATTGAGTTGTAAGAGTTTTTTTATATATTGTAGATGCAAATCACTTATCACATATATGATCTGCAAAATATTTTCTCCCAGTCTGGGGGTTGTGTTTTTGCTTTCTTGATTGTGTCCTTTGAAGCACAGATGTTTTTAATTCTTATAAAATCAAATTTATTGATCTTCTATCTCACGTACTTTTAGTGTCATATCTAAGAAATCATTGCCTAATCCAAGAGTTATTCTTAAATTTTCCTCTAGGAATTTTATAGTTTATCCCTTTCATTCACGTCTATGATCCACTTTAAGTTCATTTTTATGTACATATACTTTCTTCTAAAAAATTCAGACATTAGGGTATAATTTACATTCAATAAAATTCACCAATTTTAAGTTTAGAGTTTAGTGTCATCTTATATACTTTTAATCATTCTATATTATTGGGTGTTTTTTCCTAGGAACTTAGGGATAAGGAAAATTGAGTGTGTGCCCATTTTCTCTTCTTGTTCCCTACAGTTTTGCTTATAAATGTGTGATTATGTGGGAGTGTGTGTGTGTGTGTGTGTGAGAGAGAGAGAGAGAGAGAGAGAGAGAGAATGAGTCAGTGAGGGGGTGGGGGAGAATTTTGATATCGACTTCTGAAGGGTTCCTGCTTTGACTTTCTTTTGCAGCCCCATGGATCCATTTAATTATGTATAGATTGAATGAATGAATGCAATAATCAAGTGACAGTCAGTTTCTCTCTTCAGATCCATCAGTACCACATGGCCACAGGTATTTACATGCAGCTGCCGATGGTCAAGGTCAATAGGGAGACTCCTCAGCTGGGCCCTGCATGTACATGTCTGGGTTTAATGGGCTACTTTCTTTTCTTTTTTTTATGGGCTATTTTCTAATTAATGATTCCTTCAGAAAGAGCCCCCCCTTTCAGGATAATTACAGAGTCTTGTAGTAATCTACTTTGGGGGCCCGTTTTCTGTGCTTCCCGTTTCCTGAGGCTTCCCTGGGGCTGCCCCAGGAGCACTTGGCCACCTCCAGCAGCAAAGGCAGGATGTGGCTGACAGGATACCCTGAGCTGAGGAACCAGGGGTGCTCAGGGGATTGGGTAGAAGTCTGGGGAAGTAGGAGCCCACACTTCTCATCTCAGCCCTGAGGACCTACTCACTGAGCCATTCTGGGCCTTTGCATTTCCTTCTAAACCATGAGGAATTAAAGGATATTTAATATGTGCCAGGCATAGAAGAATACAGTTTCAAAGTAAAGCTGTCTGAGCACATTACTCCAAAATGATTTTTTTACAAGAATTTATTAAGGGTATATGTTGTCATGACTGTTGTTAAGATGGTGACTTTTGGAGAGATGTTAGAGGAAAGCACGACCAGAAGGGAAGGAAGTTAGAGGTGGTCCCTGTCACTGGGGATAGCTTGGCCACAGCTCAGGCATCCTGTCTCTTGCCCAGCCACTGGTTTCCTCTGCCAAAGGTGGACCCCCATTATGTCTTTATATACATAATTTCCTCACTATTTTCCCCATTTTATAGATGAGGAAACTGACAGTGACTTGCTGAAGGTCATCTGCTAAGGAATAGCCAGGATTTGAACCTAGATTTCATTAAATCTACTCATGGTGGCCTTAACCACTAAAGACACACCCTCTCTTTCAGGACCTCAGCCTTTAATATTTCTATAAACTAGGCAGCAGGCATAAGAAAAAAACAAAATGTTTCTACTCTGCCCTTCTCTCTCCTGAGCCTGAGAGTCTGAGGCTGATGGAATCTTGTGTTGTCTGAGCCAAGGGATGATCAAGAATCAGATAGCCAGGCCTGAGGGGGTACCCAGGAGTGTGCCACAGAACTTGGGAGATGCAAAGCAAGTGTGTACAATGAGATCAGAAAACGGCTAAGTTTTCAACACTGCCTCACAGTAGTGAAGGCTGAGGCAGGGACAAGAAGAGGGAAATCATAAAAGGACTGGAACTTGCTGTGGGCCTTAAAGGAAAGGCAGGATTTGCAGGTGAGACAGAAACCACATCCCTGGTAGAGGGCACTGGAATAAGGAGAGTCTGGGGCCAGATGGGGGCAGGCCACACTGACCTGGCCCAAAGGAGAGTGGGGGGGAGGGGAGGGCAGTCAGCCTAAATAGGGCAAATAGGACCCCATATCAAAGACCCGGAAAGGCAGATAGTGAAATCTGACAATAGGGAACTGTTGCAGGTTCCAGAGGAGTAACCTTGATGAAGTGGGAAATAGAAATAAGGGAAGGAATCCTATACTAAGGGAGGTAATCAATACAAAGTTTATAGGCCAAATAGAAAAATTTATAATTTTCCAGAGTTGAATTTTATGTGTAAGTCTTTATAGGCTTCATTAGCTTTGTCTTAGCAACAAAGGAGTCAGCTACATCTTTCCTTCAAGGGCCCCAATACCTGGGACAAAGCTCGCTGCTGCATGGTAGGTGGCCTAAGAGCTCCCACTAGTGAGCCTCTGTCCCGCTGGGGGGATTCTCAAGCCCTGTGAGGATGAGGAAAGCCAGGCTAGCTTCAGGAAGGTACTTACCAGCTGAACTTTCTCGGGAACCCACACTTTGCAAATACCAACAAGACTCTCTGTTCTAGGAGAGTTGTTTTCCCTGCTCCTTGTTGAGGCCAGGAGAGCATGGCTACGAGCATTGGTGCTGATCTCCATTCCTGGGAAGGTGCCCCCAGACACTGCCCACAGGCTGAGTGGGCTTCACTCCTAGTTCCCACCCTGAGGGGTTAAGGGGGAACAAGGTCAGGCATGGGCAGAAGAAGATGGTTATTCAAGGGCTTGGGCCTCTATTTACCAATCTGGAAAACATTACGAACATCTGCTCCACCCACCCCTCACAAGGTGGCTATTAGGAGGATGTTCTAAGAAAATGAGAGTGAGGGCCTTCTAATTCTGCACTGGGCACTTTGTTATCACCATTTTCAAATCTTGTTCTAACCCAATTCATTCATTTTGGGGACTAAGTCATTCTGTTTTGCCAATGAGATGTGAATATTCTAAAGAATCCCCAATGTTAGGCCCCTGTGTCAGAATCCCTGATGAAAATGAAGATTCCTGGGGCCCTGCCCCAGACACACTCAGAATCTCCACCAGGCCTAGGGATCTGTGTTTTAACCAGAGCCCCAAGACATTTAACTACACAGTCAAGTGGCAGAACTACTGTTTTTACAGTTGGGCAAACAAGGCCTGTGTGTGACCAGGAAGAGAAACAAGGGAGATAACACCTCTTCAAAAGCTGGTGTGGGAGGGCTGCCAGTCACAGGGAAGCAGTGGGAAGGGCCTTGGCCTTCATTTGGCCCAACCCCAACCTGAATGATAAAACTGGGGCCCAGCAAGCACAATGAGTCCAGGACATTTGTGAAGACAGACCTCCAATCCCTTTGCTTCCTAAGCCCTCACCAAGCCCCTCTCCTTCACCTTCACGTACATGTGTGTCCCTGTGTTGTACTGTGGCAGGTTGTGCAGCCTGCCTGAGCCTAATAAGAGGCTGGATGTAAGGAATCTTTTCAAACTCCATCTTTTGGGGGTACCGCTTCCTAGCCTTTTTATATTGAGGTAGTTTATAATTTTCATGACTGCAGAACAAGTAGAACTCTTTCTTCATAGGAAAGAAAAAAGCATCTCGCAGTCTTTTCAGCACCTGTAAGAGCCATGGGCTCAGGGAGTCCTTGCACCTGAGCCTCCTAACTCGGGTGGCCAGGGGGGTTGAGGCTGAGACTGGCTCTGTGGGAGGTCTGACTCACTACTCAGTTTCCAGTGCTTTCCAGAGCTTCCCGCGGTGACCTCAGTCAGCAGAGCCAAGGAAGCCACGGTTCTTGGCACAGATGGCACAGTCCACATACCTCCATTACCAGGCTGGCAGGCAGCCCCAGAAAGGGACAGAGAAACACAGGTAGACTCAAGTCTGATGAAATCTTCCTTTTACCAACACCCACCCCATCCCTTTTATTTCATGGCACTAATGAGACTTAACCGTTTTAACAAACATTTTTTTTATTTAGAAAAGTAAAAAATATTGCATAGGTCTTAATACTTGAACATCAAGTGTATTCATGAACAGTGAGTATCTTCATGTAAACAGTTCTAGATGGAAGACCCAGATGACACTCCTCTGGGGAGGGGTCCAGCCCACACCCCCATCAGCCCCTTCCCCTCACAGCTCAACTCTTCAGTACACATTATGGGAGGGACTGAACACAGCTCCCAGGTGTATTTTTCCTTCAAGTGTCAAAGATCCCCAAGTGATCCCAACACCCACCCCTTCCTACTCTTACATTCATGCGTCTGTAAGATAGCTGCCTGGAACAGGTCAGTAGTGAAGCTCTGATCAAAAAACCAAAAGATACACAAACAAAGAACACACACATTTGGCCCCTTCAGACCATGAGATACAAAGCACTTCAATGATTCCCCCCCTCCCACCAGGGCCGGCTCCACCAGCACACCCCCCTTGCCTTGTAAAGGCCAGTGCAGCCCAGCTGCTCTCCTGGCTGTCACACTACTGTTGTTTTAACTGTCAGTAACGATAAAAGTAATAAGGTACATGCTACATACACATCCAGCCAGAAGCCTGGTTGGCCCCTAAGCTTTTGTTTCATGCTACAGTACTGAGGGGCATGTGCCCCCAACGGGGAGCCACCTGCACATACCTAAGTGAGCTTCCCAGGAAACACTATGCTATGTTCCCCCGACCTTGACCTTCCTTCTCCCAGGTGACTGTTGTCAGTTTTTTAATGACAGGTATCAGTCCCTCAGCTCCTGCCTGCCAACGTCCACCCCAAAAAGTTCAGTTTTCTCTGCCCTAGGGGCAGTGTTAGCCCCTCAGGCCCAAGTTCAACATTCCTCAATGAGCAGCTGCTCCGAGCTGTATAGCTTCTTCTTGATGACTCGGAAGCCTGTGCTCAGCGTCAGGGTCTGGCTGAAGCCAGGGACGAAGGGGGAGTTGGCGGCGCTGAACAGCCCTTGGATCTTGGGCCACAGGCGTGAGTCTAGGCGCAGCACAAGGGTCAGCTGGAAGGTGGGCACCAGGCAGGGGTCGAGGGCCAGTTGACCGATGCTGTGGCAGCTCTTGCCCTGCTCTACACAGACGTCCAGCAGCGCCCCCCGCAGGCCGCACGGCTCGCTGTAGGCCAGATGCAGTAGTTCTTTGCCCACCTGGCTCACCAACTGGCCGGGCATCAGCAGGCGCGCTGGGCGCCGCGATCCCAGCCGAGCCTGGGCCAGGCTCTCCTGCAGCAGCTGCATCAGATTGGCACACAGGTGCTCATCCTCAGGGTCGCTAAGCAGCTCGAAGTCGGGCAGGGACACCCCATCCAGGTATGCTGAGTCTAGAAGGGAGAACACACGGGGCAGGGTTGCTTAGGGCAGCTCCTTAAGGAGGTGTTGTTTCGCTAAGAAACCACTTCCCACTGTATGCCTCCACATCCAATCTCCTTTCTCCGCACCCCCCCCCCCCATCTCCGCAATCTGGGTTCTGATGGGGTAAGAAGTCAAGGTGGCTTTGACTCCTTCCAGTGCGGAGCTCTCTCACCTCCCAGGCCGCTCGGATCGCGCCCGGCCCCGGTCCACGGCTCACCTTCCTCTAGTCCGAAGCCACTGTTGCTGCTGTCGAGGGACTCGCAGTCCGAGCTCTCCAGGCTCGCACAGCGGCCGAGCCCCTCTTCTCGGGCCGCCGACCCCCAGGCGGAGCGCGGCGGCTGATCTGGGGAGGGAGTTCGGGACAAGGAAGAGGACGAAGAGGAGGATGAAGAGAAGCGATCCCAAAGGCTAGGCATGGTGGAGACAGACGCCAGGACGTTTGCAGACGAGTTCAGGGTGCGAGATCGCAGAAAACGCTGTAAAATAAGAGGAGCAAGGGTTGGGAGTCAGTCTGGGGACTGGACCACACTGCGAGCTCTAGGACCCGCACGGCTGAGGCCTCCCCGCGCAAGGACCAGCACACACGGAAGGGACACTCACCAGCTGACGCGGTCAGCGAGACCTGCTGGGACAAGGGCGTACAACCGCTTGAATGAGTGCGGGAACGGGTGCCAACCTCCAAGCGCTGCCCAGACCTGTCCTTTCTATCCACCCGCACCTCCCCCTTGGCCTGCCGAAGTCCCTAGCCCAGAGCCCAGAGACCTATAAGGACTAGCGCGGGAGAGGCCACGCCCCTCCGTGCCAAGGCCCAATCCAGACCCGGGAGTGTGGCCCGCCTCGGCCAATGGGCCCCGAGCGCACGTTCACAACGTTCTCTCCTGCCCGGTGACAGCGGCCTGGCCCCGCCCCTATTAAGCCCGAGCACTCTCGCAGCAGAACCCCGAGCCGCGGCCACGCCTCCTTTCTGGAAGGGATTCGTGGCGGCTGCAGCTGCCAAGGTCCCTGAGGGCGCTCGCGGCAGGGGAGGATCAAGGAAAGACTTGTTTATTGTAGGGTCGTGTTGCTGGGGGAGGGGATAGCCCGTGACCGCGCAGGGGAAGAAGCAAGCGGGAATGGAAAACGGTTGCTTCCACCGTCTGGGAGCCTGAGAGCTTTGGGAACAACTGGGCGCACGGGAGGATGCCCGTGGCACAGGAGTGCGGGGAGTAGACGTTAACTCCGCCGGCGCTCGCACACGTCTCCGAAGCTCACCCTGACTTGCAAAGGATGAGGGTAGGGGCTTGGGGTCCAAAGGCAGGGCAGCTCCAAGCACCGAGCTCCCCCTTCCCTGGGGCCCCACCTGCTCATCCGCCTGTTACTCTACAGTCTCCGAGGATGGGTTAATAGGCGTGTCTCTACCTCCGCTTGTGAGCCTGGCCTCCAAACCGAGTTCGTTCCCACCCCACCAACTGCTTCTAAGGAGAGGGTTTGGGGAGGGTACTTAGAGGAGTGTTGATGGGCTTGGGTTCCCAGCGTCTGGTCCTGGGGTTGAGAGCGGGAACCCTTATCAGATGGACACACTGGCCCGCCTGCGGACTCTACAGGCCCGAGGCGTCAGTGAGACCCTGGGCATCCGACGGGTCCTAGTGTCCCTCTTTTGAAACGCTTTGTGTAAAAGACCCGAAGAGTTGCATCAGGACCCAGGACCTAGATCTCCGGAAAAGCCTGGGGGTGCAATGGCTACCGCCTGTTTCGTCATTCAGGCGGGGCCACAGGAAATCTGACCTGACGGCTGTGCTCGGAGACAGATAGTATGTTCTGGAGGGCGGGAGGAGGTTTGGACGAACTCGACCTTTATTTCTTTAAAGATTTATCTATCTGGGACATGGGGACCCTGATAGAAAAGAGCCAAATTTTCATCAGATGCTCCCGCCTCGGGGCGGGCAGGAGCCTAACCAGATCTGTCAGGCAGCCCTCGCCTCCGGGCGGGCTTGCGCGTGACAGATGACACTTGCAGGAGAGGTCCGGCCACTACCATTCCCACCCCCACCCCCATTAAAACAAAAAACAAAAAAACCTGACCCTTGGGCCAAGCAAGCAAACCGAGACTTAGAGCCGGAAAGGAACAGAATTCAAGCCTTGCATCCCACCCCCACTTTCCAGATGGGAGAATCACCTCTGGAGACCAGTTTATGGATAAAAATTAAATTAGGGAGGCTCAGATTAGGAGGCATCTTAAAGACCACTGCAGACTAGAATAAAGTCTTTGCTGTTGGGGCTTTCAAGGCTTGAACATCGTCCATTCTTATCCCCAAGCTCCTCATTTGCTGGAGTCTTACAGACACTGGTCAGGACGTTAGGGAGAGTGCTTGGAGGGTTGGGAACAGTGGACCTCCTCTTTACTGAAGTGGGAAGAAAAGAGTTGGAGGTGACCTGTACGGGTATGTCTTTCATCCAGGAGAGATCAGGAAATTGCTTCATCAGGGGACCATTCTCTCCTCCCACCAGGCTACTGGGCTGGGGACACCTAAAAACAGGAGGAGATAGGGTGTTTTTCTTCTCTCTCCTTGGCAGAATAAAATGAAATATTTCAGAAAGCTGTGGAACATTAAGAAAAATGGAACTTTTAAAAAAAGTGATATTCATAAGCAAAAGAATTCAGAGCCAGTGTGGAAAGGTCACTTTACTAGAAATTCATACAGAAGAAGTGTGCTAAGTACCTTTCTTAATTTGTCTTATTCTGTTAGTTCTTCCTGGATGGAAAGGCTGTGTTAATGGGCACTGAGTAATCTTGTTTCTTTTCAGAAGAAATCCATTAATGTCCTCATTGTGTTTTTAAAAAGTGATGAGAGAAGGACCCAAGATAACCTAGTTCTGGTTGGAATATAGTCAGCAGTACAAGGAAGCTGGGGAGAAATATGGCATTCATTGTGTAGAGGGCTGACTTGCGGGGAATCTTAAAGTAATTAATGTTTTAACCCTGAAGTGCCTCAAAATAATTTTTTTTTTACTGAGATGAAATTTACATTTAAAATTAACCTTGTTAGAGTGAACAGTTCAGTGGCATTTAGTGCATTCATAATGTTGTGCAACTACTACCTGTGATTCCAAAACACCCTTATTGTCCCAAAGGAGGCCCTGAACCCATCAAGCAGTCATTCACTCCCAAATACTCTTTTTTTTCCTTCCTAATCTCATGCTGAGTTTCTGCTGGTCCTAGTTTTTTTTTTTTCCTATTATATTTTTTTGAAGTATAGTTGATATACAATATTATATTGGTTTCAAGTATACAACTCAGTGATTTGACAGTTAATTATGTTATTAAATGCTCATCCCAGCTAGGGTGGTTACTATCTGACAATGTAGATGTTACAGAACTATTGGCTATATTCTCTATGCTGGACTTTCATCCCCTTGACTGATTTATATTGACTGAGATTTTGTGTCTCTTTATCCCCTTCACCTACTTTACCCACCCAGCCCTTCCCCAGGGTAACCAGCAGTTCCTTCTCAGTGTCTATGAGTCTGTTTCTGTTTTGTTAGTTTGTTGTGTTTTGTTTCTCTTAGATTCCACATATAAGTGAAATCATAGGGTACTTGTATTTCTGTGCTTATTTCACTTAGCATAATATCCTCTAGGTCCATCCATGTTGTTGCAAATGGCAATATTTCTTTCTTCTTTATGGATGAATATTCCATTGCATATATGCACCACTTCTTTATCCATTCATCTATTGATTGGGCATACTTCCTTATCTTGGCTATTGTAAATATTGCAGCAATAAACATAGGGGCACATACAACTTTTAAAATCAGGGATTTGTGTTTTCTTCTGGTATATACCCAGAAGTGGAATTAATGGGCTATATGGTATTTCTCAGTTTAGTTTTTTGAGGAACCCCCATAACTGCTTTCCATAGTGGTTGGAGCAATTTACATTCCCACCAACAATGTAGGAGAGTTCCCTTTTCTCCATGTCCTCACCAACACTTGTCTTTTGGATAGTAGCCATTCTGACTGGTGTGAAGAAATATCTCCTCTTGGTTTTGACTTGCATTTCCCTAATGATTAGTGAGGTGGAGCATTTTTTCGTGTGTCTTTTGGCCATCTGTATGTCTTTTTTAGAAAAATGTCTCTTCAGGTCCTCTGCCCACTTTTTAATTGGGTTATTAGTTTTCTTGGTGTTGAATCTTTATATATTTTGGACATTAGCTTCTTATTGGATATATCATTTGTGAACATAATCTCCCATATAGTAGGTTGCTTTTTTGTTTTGTTGATGGTATCCTTTGCTGTACAGAAGCTTTTTAGTTTGATGTAATCCTACTTGTTTATTTTTGCTTTTGTTTCCCTTGCCCGGGGAGATGTATCCAGAAAGAAATTATTCATGCTGATGTTCAAGATTCCTGCCTTTGTTTTCTTCTAGGAGTTTTATGGTTTCATGTCTTCTCCAAATACTTCTTAAGTTTATATTCCTTTGTTGGTGGGAATAGGGCTGCCCCTTTGTACAACTCCAGAGGGCACCATTCCTATTAGAGCCTGTGCATTTACATATGGCTTCTGGAATATTGTGCTCCAGGGAGGACTATCACGTAGACATAGTATGCAACATGGAATCAGCATCAAGACCACCCTGATGGGGAGACTGTCTGAACTCTGAGCAGTTAGTGTCACGTCACAGGTGACTCAGGCCTTGGGAGTTGGTAACCAGGCCCCATGTCCCAATCTCTGTGGCCAGAGCCCTAACCATGCAGACACTGCCTCTTCCCAGGCCCTGCTCTATTCCCGTGGGACCCAGCTGCAGCCTGCAATTTAAAGTCAATGAGCACTCCTGCCTCCTGCCCCTCCCTGTTCAGATGGTTTGTGTCCTGCAAATTGGTTCCCAGGACCTCAGCCTGACAAAGAGTTCCAGTCGGGTCTGGGGAGTTGAACCAGATCTTGGGGAGGAGTTGATTCTGGGAACCTCTGAATTCAGGATGGGAACCCCTGAAGGCCAGCTAGCTGGCCTGCAAGACACTGCTTAGGGACCTCTGCTGCCTCTCGGAAACATCTCTGCTGAGGTTAGTGGAGGTGGTAGGAGGAGCCAGGGGACCCAAGTGGTGAGAAGAGGGTAGGAGTTAGGGACAATGAACCCAGGACTTCTGTGGCTTTTTAACTTGAAAAACAGGTTGGTCAAAATAGCAAGTGCACCTGGTTTAAAAGGAAGGTTGTGAAAAGCTGTTGACAACTAGGGGCTTCAGGTGGGATTTGGATTGTGCTATTAGTGAATTAAAAACTCAGTGGGAGTCATTTTGCAAATGAAGCTACTTTTTGAAATAGTAATACTAACAATGCACTGTATAGCGTAGCCTTTCAAGGAAATTTTTAAAAGTATTATCTACTTACACCCTGAGGAATGAAGATGGTGCCATTCTACAGATGAGAAAATCGAGGCCCAGAATGAGTCCAGTTATCCTTCCATTAACCCATAGCTTTCAAGCCTAATTTATAATTATACTATCTGAAGATATTCAGATATTTGAAGCCCAGAATTTTTATTGCAAATAATGCAATCTTGCATTCTATTTTACGTTTTGTCTCTGTTAATTTTAGCAGCAAACTTTTAAATTACCAAATTACTTAATTTTTCCCTTTCCTCTTGACCCTCCAAAAAAACTTTTATTCAAAGTAAGATACACTGTGATTAGCCTGTGGCTTCATGTAAGGTTGGGATTTTCATATCCTGGTTTTCAAGACCCAGAACTAGAGAATTTCAAAGAGTTCTCCAACCTCCACCAGGATC